TTTTGCCAGTCCTAGGGCTTGAACTCAGGGCCTGGGCACTGTCCCTGAGCTTCTTTTTGCTCAAGACTAGTACTCTACCACATGAGCCACATCATCACTTCCAGCTTTTTCTGTTTATGTAATACTGAGTTGAATCCAGGGCTTCATGCGTGCTAGGCAAGCACTCTACCAATAAGCCACATTTCTAGCTGGTGCCAGTTTTGGGGCTTGAACTCAGAGCCTTGGCATTGTTCCTGAATTTGAGCCACACCTCCACTTCTGGCTTTTTGCTAGTTAATTGGAGATAAGAGTCTCATAGACTTTACTGCCAGGCTGGCTTTGAAGTGTGATCCTCAAATAGCCACCTGAGTAGCTAGGATTATAGACATGAACCAGTTCCAGCTAACATTTTAACTAAGTGATTAAAAAACTTCTCATCTTGCAAAACCAAGTTCAATATGCTTTAAGCAACAATTCTCTATGCCCTTCTCACTCCTACTCTGCTTCAAAAAAAAAAACCCAGAGTCCTATGAATTTACTCTATTATTTCAGTAGAGTACTAGATTTAAGCTAAAGAGCTCAAGAATAGTGAGTGTCCAGGTCCAGAGTTCAAGCCCCATAACTAACAGGAAAAGATCTTTCTCCTTTTTAAACCAACAAACAAATAATAGCAAGATTAAGATACTTGAGTTAGAAGCCAGGTACAGGTGGCTCACACCTGTAACCCTAGCTACTCAGAAGGCTGAGATCTGAGGATCAAGGTTCAAAGCCAGCCCAGGCAGGAAAGTCCATGAGACTCTTACTCAAATTAACCACCAGAAAACGGGAAGTAGTGCTGGGCTCTAAGCGGTAGCCTTGAGCTGAAGAGCTCAGGGGCAATGCCCTGGCCCCCATGGCTGACAAAAAACCCCCAAGATACTTGAATTAGAATTGCTCTGTGTGTGTGGGTGTGTGTGGGTATGTGCGTGTGTATTGGGGTTTGAATTCAGGGTTTTATGCTCTCACTTGGATTTTTCACCCTGAAAAACCAAAAATAAGTTTAGCAGTAATTTTGGTCAAAACTAAAACATTTGTCATCTGTTATTGGAAAGTAAGTTAGATCCTGCACCAAGACAAGATAACAGTAAGGACTATTAAGGGATCAGGCTGTTCTGACCAGTCCAGGAATTTGGGCAGTCTCTCCCCCCAACTCTGTTGGGGAAAACATTTAGGACAAGATATAATTCAGCATTCCTGTGGTTAGCCCCACTTATCCAACCAATGATGTATGATTTAACCTATCCTGTAACTGCTAAGCTAGGAAGTCCCCTGCCCTTACTGGAAATGATCATACCCCTAACCAATGAGCTTGAGAAATCCTTCCCCCTGCTACGTACCCAATAAAAACCCTTCTGGACAAGGGGTCGGGGCTCACAATTTCTGACCTGCTGCATCAAGGAGGATTTGTGAGATAAGCTTGAGCTGTAATAAACGACTCTCGTGCATTTACATCAGCGATGGCTCCCTGGTGGTCTTTGGGGGGGGGGTGTCTGTGGCCTGGTACTACATCATGGGGGCTCATCCGGGATTCCCCAGACTCAGGGACCCCAAACTGGAGAGTCGGATACTGATCGGTGAGTCTTGTTAGTCTAATTTGTCTGTGTGTGGTGTTAGCTGTTCTGTTTAAGGGGCCCGAAATCTGTAATTCTAAATAGGCTGACACCTAGGCAGACACGCTAGTAGGTGCCAGCCGGCTGTGGGTCCTGAAAGACTTTCCAGGCCCTTCTGGAGGGGTATAAGCCCCCTCCATATGCAGCACTATAAACCTCCTCAATCTGGAGGAGTATCAGCCCCTTCCATCTGGAGAGGCATGAGCCCCTCATTCTGGAAGAGCAGGAGTGTAGGCTTCTTGCTCTGAGAATTCTGACAGGAGGAAGAAGGTAGCTACTCCGAGCTGGCTTGGAGCCGGTGTCCTGGTTTCAGATTTGCCTCCCATCGATAGGAGGAATTTGTTTATCTTTTTGTGTGTCAGTTTTGCTTTTGTGTCTGTCGGTTGCTATTTATTTCTGTGAGACTATTTCTGTGTGACGGATGATACAGAACAGACTCAAACCACTCCCCTTTCACTTTTGACTGACCATTTTAAAGAGGTTAAAAGGAGAGGACAGGACTTAAGTGTGGAGGTCAGAAAAGGGAAACTACATTGTATAGTGCCGAGTGGCTCCAACAAGATCTTAGCCTTGGAGGTTGGTCTGGGGGTCTGAGCATGGGGGAGAATCTGCCAGTCTGAGTAGACCGCAGCTAGGGACTCGTATCCCGTGCCCCAAAATGACTGGGAATTCTCCTCCACCCTGGAAGGCCCCTGGGTCAACATTTGTAGGAATCTATAAAAGAAAAATCCCATTAGTCCCCAACTCAGCCTTCAGTTGTCTTGTCTTGTTCTGTTTTAGAATTGGTACCAGTTTTGGGGCTGGGAAGGTGGCTCAGTGGTAGAGCACTTGCCTTGCATGCATGAGGCCCTGGGTTCGATTCCCCAGCACCGCATAAGCAAAAAGAAAAAAAAAAGCCGGAAGTGGCGCTGTGGCTCAAGTGGTAGAGTGGTAGCCTTGAGCTGAAAAGCTGAGGGACAGCGCCCAGGCCCAGAGTTCAGGCCCCACAACTGGACCCCCCAAAAAAAAGAGAGAGAGAGAGAGAGAGGAGGAGGGAGGAAGGGAGTAGAGAGAAGCAGAAGAGATCGAGGTAGATGTACTCTAGTCCTACAAAATCTTTTTTTTTTTTCTTCTCATCCTGGGGCTTGGGCTTAGGGCCTGGGCACTGTACCTGAGCTTCTTTTGCTCAAGGCTAGCACTCTACCACTTGAACTACAGCACCACTTCTGGCTTTTTCTGTATATGTGGTACTGAGGAACCAAACCCAGGGCTTCATACATACTAGGCAAGTACACTATCACTGAGCCACCTTCCTAGCCCCTACAAAATCTTGGCCATTGGGAATGACTTCTTAGTCTTTGATCAGAAGTGAATGGGAGGGGCTAGGAAGGTGGCTCAGTGGTAGAATGCTTGCCTTGTATGCATGAGGCCCTGGGTTCAATTCCTCTGCACCACATAAGCAGAAAAGGACACAAGTGGCTCTGTGGCTCAAGTGGTAGAGTGCTAGCCTTGAACTGAAGAGCTGAGGGACAGTGCCCAGGCCCAGAGTTCAAGCCCCACGACCACACACACACACACACACACACAAAGTGGGTAGGGGCCAGGCACCAGTGGCTCACTCTAATTACTAAAATAAGCCAGACCTGGAGCTGTGGCTCAAGTGTTAGAATGTGCTGGGACAGTACTCTGGCCCTGAGTTCAAGCTCCAGGTGAAGTAAGGAGGTCAAGTCTGGCTGGTGCCATATTGGCTACATGGTGGATTGTAGGGTCTGGCATCTTGTCTTCATGCTGGGGGAAGAAAACCCCTGCCCATCACCTGCTTCCCAGGTAATGATCATGCCTGGATCCCTGGAGACAGGGGCAGGCACTTGGCTGATGGGTTACTGAATCTGTGTCCAGTGCCTGGGACTGGGAATTTCCTGAGGATCTGCCCTCTGCGCTGCCATTTTGTGTCTCTGTGATTGCATCTCCTGGCTTGTCTCCAGTCATCATGGTGTCCCAATTCAGCTCTCCATTGGAGCTTAGTTGGCTTGTTGGTATTGCTTTTGTTTCTTTCCCCTTTAGCCATGTTTCCTAGCTGTGTTATGTGTATTTGCGTGCTCAGGTCTTTGTAACAACTGGCTTTGTGCAGCCTGTTAACTGTAGAATAATAAACACTGCAGTATTCTCTATTTCAAAATGAGGCTTCTGGCATGATTCATCTTACAATGTGTGGCACCCCCACCTGACCTCCTTACTTCATAGGATCATGTGTGTGTGCACAGTGTCAAAGCATATGTTCAAGTGCGTGGAAGTCAAAATAAGCTTGGTCCTTTTAACTCAGGAACGGTTTCCTGAGGCAGATTTTATTTTATTTTATTTTTTGGTCCGTTATGGGGCTTGAACTCAGAGCCTGGGTGCTGTCTGAAAGGAATCCTTTACAGCCATCCCAGGAGACCATGCAGAGGCAGACAGGCACAGGAGAAAGATTATTACAAGGTTTATTAGAGGGGCCATATCTCCTGGGAATGGGAGCACATGGCATCTGTCCCTATTCAGGTAGCAGGAGGATCTGGGTGGGTGCTCAGGTAGGTCTGGGTGGGGAGAGGGAGTGACCAGCTGTATGGCCCAGATTGGGAGAAGCTCAGGTCTGGGGGGAGCTAAGAACTAAAAGTGGGCATAATGCTTACATTCTCACTGAGCTCTTTTTGCTTAAGGCTAGCACTCTGCCATGTGGAACCTCAATAACACTTCTGGTTGTCTGGTGGTTAGCTGGAGATCAGAATTTCAAGAACTTTCCTGCCCTGAAACAGTGATCCTCAGATCTCAGCTTCCTGAGTAGCTAGGTTTACAGAGGTGAGCCACCAGCGCCTGGCTCTTACTCAGACTTTGTAGATTCTGTTACAAAACGTCTCCATTTTGTTTACCCATCCCAATTAGCCTCAGAGCTTTAAAACCAAGAAGTCTTTGCCAGGTATCAGTTGGCTCATGCCTATATTCCTAGCTACTCAGGAGGCTGAAAATTGAGAATCATAGTGGGAAGTTAGGCTGGGCAAGAAAGGTCAGGAGACTCTAATTCAGACAGAAGTAGAGTTGTGGCTCAAATGGTAGAGTACTTATCCTTGAGTAAAAAAAAGTTCAGGGACAGTATGGAGGCTCTGAATTCAAGCCTCAGGACAGGAGCCAAAAACAAACTGTGAAGACAAAGTGCCTTGACTTTGACCATGTTGACAAAATATCTCTGTTTGCCAAGATGACTTGTTACATAATTATACAGGTGCTAGGGCCCTCACGTATGTTTTGCATGATAACATTGCCCAATAGTTTTTTTCTGGTGTCAGGTTCATTCCCTTTCTGAATCCTCAAACCTGAAAGACTAGTTTTGATAAGCATATTCAGGTACAGCCATGAACCATGGGTGAGCACATCTTCCCACAGATAGAAAAAGGACAACACCAGATCCCACATTACCCAGAACAGCAGGGGACAGGAGGGAGTCTTGCAGAGTCTCACAATTGCTTGTGCGGTTCCATGAAGAGAACCGCTTTTATCCTGGGCTCTGGGCTCCTCTTGTTTGTGGCCTTCTGGAATTCGATCCCATGGTAAGTTTGCTCTCCCCATCTCAAAGCTAGGATCTGGGAGCCATAGGGTGAGATCCCAGAGCGGTCAATCCATGTTCACCTGGAATGTTGAATGGTTTTTCTTTTTATTTCCTTTTTCTTTTTGTGGGGAGTGGGTAATGGGTGCTGGTCCTAGAGCTTGAATTTTGGGCCTGGGTTCTGTCCCTGCACTTCAGCTCAAGGTGAGTGCTCTACCACTTTAGCTACAGCACCATTTCTGGTTTTCTGGTGGTTTATTGGAGGTAAGAGTCTCATGGACTTTCCTGCCCCTGCTAGCTTTGAAGTATGACCCTGGAATCTTAGCCATCTGAGTAGCTAGGATGACAGGTGTGAGCCACTGGCACGTAGCTTGAATGTTGTTTTCTTTCAAGGCATCGTCAGAGATTTTGGGGTGCTTCTGGCTACTTTTGGCAAGCCCAATGGGAGAGAATACTATCCACATTTGAAGACAAAGAGCTGATCCTTTTCATTGCAGGTGAGATTTCCTGTATGGAGTGTTAAGGTACCTAATTCTAGCTTTATTCTGTTTGTGCTGTAATGGGATTTGAACTTAGAACCTTGCACTCTCACTGTTCACTCCCAGCTGAAGCTCTATTACTTGAACCACACTTCCAGATTAGGTTTTATGCTAACTATTTTTTTAGGGGGGTCGTGGGGCCTGAACTCTGGGCCTGGGCACTGTCCCTCAGCTCTTCAGCTCAAGGCTTTGCTCTACCACTTGAGCCACAGCGCCACTTCCGGCTTTTTTCTTTTTGCTTAT